CTTCTTCTATTTCTCTCTTTAGGGTTCTGTAGTTTTCATTGTATAAATCTTTCACCTCTTTTGTTAGGTTGATTCCCAAGTATYTTATTTTATTTTTTTGAGGATATTGTGAATGGGGTGGTTTTCCTCATTTCCAGTTCAGAAGAACAAAAGCACCTTTTAAATTTATGGGTGATAATATCATAGTTTATTTGTTGAGGGAGCACTGCTTTATAGCATGCATTTCTCCACTCACCATATATTAGTACAGTTATTTCCTGACAAATATGTTTTGTGCTTGAGGCAGTATATTTTTATGGAATACCTGAAGACTGTTGCCATATAAATGTTTGCTCCATGGGTTGCCAAGGTTAGCAGCTTTTCTCATATTGGAAGTGTCACTGCTGGCTTTTAATCTGGGTGTCCACTGAGGAACATGGCTAGGCTTAGCTTCACTGTTTCCCAAGTAGATGAGAATCAATGGCCTGTTAAGTTATAGGCACAATATCATAGTGTGTCCATGGCTTATAAAAATCCAAAATGATGGTTTCACTTGCAAACCTCCGTCTCCCTTTTTCCTTGCTTTTCAAAAGTTCTTACAGAACTTGGGCAGAATCTATGGGTTTGGAAGGCTGCACTTCTGTTCCTTACTCTACTGTTCTGGGCCCCGGTTAAGTACACATATATTTGTTGCCAGTTTAAAGGGACTGGGTCTTATTCCTCGTTGGGCTGCTTGTCACGTTTTTGGTCTTTTGTTCTGTCCTTCCTGTTTGCCTGTGATTCCTTTATCAAGCCAGTTTCTTTCCATGGGAAGGAGTATGTGCCAAGCTCTGCTCCAGGCCAGGTTTGATTGTGCTTCCCCCCGACCCCCGCAGAATTCATAATTAAAATAATAATTTCCTCCTTCAGGGTATGGCCTCAGAAGTCTCTCTGCCTTTCATAATTCAAGATGTTTCCTTCTCCTGGCAGCTGATAGGCATCCATCTCAAGTTTATCCCACCTAACTAGAATCATCTCATTACTTGACCAGCTCCCCTATTCCTATGTTAGCTTCAGGAGAGAGACCCTTCTCCTCAGTGTGGTCCCTGACTGGGACACGGAAGGTACCTAACCACTGGTGAGTGAAGCCAGCCAGCCCACTCTGAGAGAGGAATACTTATGCTGTTTATCCAGTGCAGAAAGTTGGATCAAGGTACCATCAACACTGGCCTGCTTAATGCTGAATTACTGACTTAGTAAAAGCTACTTAATTTCAATATTATTTTAAGGGTCAAAATATATTTGATAAATGCTATAAAGTCGGGTATTTTATTATTTTTGTATTTACGTTTATATTATATATTTTATCTTGTGAATGATGCTCGTATCCTAAAAACTGGATGTTACAATAAAATGTATATTTTACCACATAAAGCATAGAATGTAAACTCTCCTTTTCTGTGCAATAAAGGCAGTCCATTTCAGAACACAACTTAAAACATGAGCTGTATCTAGGAAAAAAACACAAATTAAAATGAAAAGTAAAGTTGGGAATGAAGTACAGTGGTAGAATACTTACCTGGCATGCCTGATGCCCTTAGGTTCGGTCTCCAGTACTGCAAAAGAAAAATAAAACTATGCATTAAAGTTAACAATGTGCTTTATTGGGGACATTTCCAGTATTTTTTCTGTCGTGTTTAACATACTCCAAAGCATTACATAGGTTTAAAAAATGCTAATTTTATCCTGTACCATCTGCCTTAATGGCATATCTTTTAATTGATTGAAATTCCAAATCTCTATTGCAGAATAAGAAGTTAACAATATCACTTTGTTAACTAAGATTAAAAAATTAAAAGTCATTAACATGTTACACATATGTATTAAAGCATTATGAATAACATTTGGTCAGCAGTTGTGTCAGTCCAGCTGTCTGTTGATTTAAGAAGAATGTTTTTAGATGATAAGTCAAAGCAGGGACATTATTTGTAGACATCTTGATCCCCCCTTTCATTCCAAGTGTCCATCTTCAAGTGGATAGAACTCTGAGAGTCACAGCTTACAACCATAGGAGAGAGTCCCATCTTCCACTGTCTTTAGTAATTATTTATATTTTGTTATTATATTCCAGAAATATTACACTAACAGAGCCTGAAACTACAGCTGTATTCACAGAGTCTGAAGGCTTTAAAGTTTTACTTTGGGGAATAAAATTAAAAGATGAAATACAGAGATTTTTCTCAGTGTAGCAGAACAAAATAAAATTATCCCCTCTTAAAATAAATGGTAGTTAGGGGAAGCAATTTTTCCTGTCATGGATAAAAGCTAAGGAACACAAAATCAGCATTTGAAATGTTAACTCACAGTGTTTTAAGTAAAAAGAAACTAGAATGCATTGTACAGTACCTTTTCCCAAGGATGATTGCAGTTTCTTGTTTTTAAGACCTGAAAAAAGCGTCATCTATTTGGTAGGCTAAACTATAAAAACTAGAGATGATATGAAAACATTAGGTCGAATGTTCAAGTTTTTCTTTTTTGGTGGGGGGTTCCATTTTACATTGCTTAATCAGCTCAGCCTCTCCTGTAGTTGAGTTCAGAGTCCCTGGCGTGCCAAAGAAAAGCAAACTTTTGATATTTGTGGCCATATTGAACATTCAAAGTCCCTATGCCTCTAGTTTTGTCGCATTCACCTACAAAGTTACTGTGGCAAAAGCATGAATTTAGAATCAAAATTTTCTTCTAAACTCATCGTTGCCACTTAACAGTGGTAAGTTTTGGTAGCCTGTACAAGGCATTTTATTTATAAACTTCTGCTTCCTCATTTGTAATGAAAGTTTCAAAAGCCTGTTTTTACCTAAGTCTCGGGCTGTGCTAAGGACAAAAGGAGTCAAAATAAGCTTAGTGTACTAAGAAGTGTTTTTTCACAAGTTTCAGGTAGGTCCTGTTGTAATTCCCATTTCACAGGTAGGGAAAGGTTGAAAAAAGCTAACAAGTCTAATAAAGAACACATGGCTGATAAATGAGAGATCTGATTCCAAAAGAAACTACTGTAATTACACTTATTCAACCTTGGCACTACTGACATCTTGGGGCTGGTATTTCTTTGTTGTGGGGATTGTTTTATTCATTTGAGGATGTTTAGTGACATATCTGCCTCTCCCACTAGTTATCAGCAGTCACCTCCTTCCAGTTGTTCACAGCCAAGGGTGTCTCCAGACACTGCAAAATATTCCCTGGTGGGCAGACCTTAAGTTGAGAAAAGCTGGTCTGTATGATTCTGGAGCTAAAGTTCTTAACCAATTTCATAATGATATTTATTAGTGTTATCATTATGCTGAGTAGTTCCTGTTTAGAATACTTGTATGACATAGCAATTTGCAGAATTAAAAAAGAGATAACAACTGATTTTCATCCATCGTCTTCCTGTTTCCAAATATAAGCAGAGGCATTGTCTCCTTTGTAAGTTGGCTAGCTTCCTGTCCCTGCAAACAGAATATCACCTGCCAAGGATGCCATCTGCAAAGGGCCCAAAGTCCGACTCAGACACCTCTGGTCTCCCTTCTAGTTTAATTCTATACTCATTCCCTAATGGGCCACGCTGGTCTGTTTTGAACAGCCCTTAGCCATCTGGCATGTTTGTGGACTTCTAATATTTGTTATCAGCCAAGATGGGAGAAAGAAACACATGGATTTTCGTAATCACTATCTCATTCGATCTTCACAATAAGCCCCTGAGGTTTGTATTGATTGTCTGTGTTTACATTTTACTTAGGAATCTTAACCTTTTTCTTTGCTTGTTCCTTCAACTTTGGTGTGCTCATTGCAAAACTTGATATAGAAACTCAGCGGGAAGTTGATGTGGAAACTCAGCAGGTGCCTTTGTTACCAGCACTGTATGAAGAGTAACATCCTTCTGAATTACTCAACATAAAGCAGATGCCTTCTGCCCTGCATGACTCTTCCTTTTTCCTTCCCCCTTAACATGGATCATTAAATACATGCCTTCTTTTATTGCACTGGGGACTTAGGAACCGACTTTCACTTTCCTGACACTGTGGATAGGTGTCCCATATTTCTCCAAGAATGGAATGTTTTTACTTCTGTTTCTCACCCTTCCCAACCCTGCAAAATGGCTAACTGCAAGCTTTCCAACCCTCCCATGCCTTCCCATTGTTATCTCTACATTTGACACTTCCTGATATTAGCATTATTCCCAACATATTGTCACCTTGCAACTAGAACTTTTTAAACATTCATCAATGTTTGTTTCTGTGTTATTAAAACTATTGGGAAATTAGATGCATTTTTCCTAGGCCTCATTCATAGTTCGAAAATATTTTGCACATAGCCTGTATGAATTGAATTTTCTTTTGAACTCTTAAGTTTTAAGATGAATTGCTACTGACAAACACAATAAATATAATTGTATATGATTAAAAGTATCAGCATGACCCGAGAAGAGGCTGATGTAATTAGCAACAGTGATGAGGATCTAGAATTGCCTAGGAATCTTTGAGACTCAGAATTTGGCTTATGGAAGGTTCAAAACAGTAGTTTGAACCAATGGGAAAGAGAACTGGATTATTTCATGGCAATATAACTTTAGTGTCAATTAAAACTTTATATTTTTTCTTCATTTAAAGTGTGTGTGAATCATTCTTAATTACTCTATGGTTCATTTAAAAAAGACTAATTGGTTCTTGCTATAAAATGCAATGTCTAGCTTGACTGAGTCATTTTTCTTTTGAGATCAGTATGCATCCTTATTGACTAGTCTTTCTAATTCTGCTTTGACATGCATGCAGTCATTTCATCATGTTCTATCAGCAATTAATTGTGGGGTTTTTCTTCCTTTTCCAGGTGGCCTTTTTGAAGATGTAACTGTTGGAACTGAGGCATCCACCCACCCCCACCAACAGACAGACAGCTCCAGGGCAGAGCACACTGAAGGCCAGCAGTCAGTTCTGTGGGCATGGATTATAAAGACAGGAACCAGGGCTGCAGAATGACAGTACTGCACTAAAGTTTTGAGTTTACTTGTTTACATATATTATCTAAGAGAAGGGCTGACTTTAGATCTTTGAAAACCCAGCACTGTGAAGAAAGTTGTAGTGGCAGGTTGTCAGCAGGGTAAGTATAGAAGTTACATTGCTACTTTCCACAGAGAGGAGCATTCAAATCTGTGCTGTGTCAGCACCACCTGGAAGGATATTAGCTAACAGAGACCCATCTGTCCTATGTGGAATGTGCAAGGAACACCATTGGTGGAACTCAGTGTAAATTCTAGGAAATAAACTTTAAAGAGCTTCTCAGGTTTGTTTAAAACAGATTTTAAATAACAAAAATACAGTGCTTTTTGTACCTTACTCAGAAAAGATGCTCAGTAAATGTTTGTTGAATGAGTAATTATCCAATTAAAAATTTTCCTGAGTTTGCAAACCTGMATGTGTTCTTTTTGTTCTTTATTTTCTTTACCTCATACTATTGCAAATTAATAATAAAAAAAGTACTCACTGGCATCCTGGTACAGTTGTTTGTGTTCCAGAACAGGAGGTGAGGAAAATACTGAATGAGAATAATGGAGCTGGGTGGAATCATAGAGTTCAGGTCAGCTCTTCATTTTACAGACAAGGATTGAAACTTGCCCAGAATCACACCACTAGGCTCAAGGTTGGGCCTGGAGCCAGGTGGATCTACCTCCTCTGACATCCTTCATTCCCACTGTGCAGTCAAGACTCATCTTTGTGTTTGCAACCGTCCCTGCTGCTGATCAAGCCTTTTGGCATTAATCCTAGCCTACAGACCATCTACCTAATACTTCTTCCCTCAAAGACCTGAGTTGACACCATAGTTTCCTAACTTTCTTAGCACAGGTATCATGTGGCATTATGATTTTGTGAACTGGCCATGATTTCTTCTTCCTTTACTTCAACCAAACCCTTGTTCTGCCAGCAGAGCAGTGGGGTAGCTCCTCTAATTCTGTAACTGGTGGACTGACCTAAGAGTAAAACCCATCTGTTGGATCCTGCTGCATCACTTTATTAAGCACAGTTTGAAACATTGATGTTCTTAGTGTTATGTCCAACACTCACAGCCACAGAGAATTAGTTTGGCTTTACTACTAATAGGCTCCCAAACATCATGCTGACTTTTCACAGTTTTGATTTCTGTCATATCAGTTATAGAGCTGGGTTTCTCATGCTCAGCACTATTTTCATTTTGGCCTAAACAATTCTTTGTTGGGAGAGGCTGCCCTGTGCATTGGAAGATGTTTAGCACCAGATGTCAGTAGCACATTCTCCTCCTCCTCCTCCACTTTGACTTGCAATGACCAAAAATGTCTGCAGATGTTGCAATGATTGGCAAAATCAGTTGTAGATGAGAATACTGCTGTAGAAGATGTGGCCTGAGAAGTAAGGTTTGGTGAGTCTTAGTGTACTTTTGTTTTCACAAATGAATATATTCATGATGAACACCTTCGTGTGTGACTGCTTCTTAGAGTTTAGTTTGTATTATCTAATGGTAGAAATTGGAATAAATTAGGTGAAGCAGAGTTCAGCCTGTGCATACAAACAATTTTCTTCAGAGGTAGTTTTTCTCCCTCTGGAGAAAAAAATGTCCATAACCATATTAACATACATTTATGATTTAGATAGTACAGAACTCATGATTCAAGCAATAACTTTGTTCTGCTCAAGAAACTTAGCTAGAATATTCTGATTTACTAATCTTGTCTTCTGAAGTAAAGTTGAGTCAACCTTACCTCTTTCTGAGGTCTTAGGAAGAGCCAAGTCAACCTTGCCACTTGTGGTGGCACAGTGTGGGGAGTGGAGGTAGAATGACTGAGAAACTCTGAGGGGCAGGGATAAGGGGGTGGGGTGTCACAACACTTACACAGAACAGATAGTTACTGTGCTTGCATTTACATTTGTCATGCAACTTAAAACCTTGTTATGGTGAAGTTCTCAAGCTGGACAGGTCTCCACTGGTTCTTCCATGGTTGGGGAGGGAGAAGTACTACACTATAAAGTGCTATGTTTTAATATAATCTTCGAAAATAATCACCACACTTAGGGGAGAAAAAGTAAAGGAAGTGTGAAGAAAGGTGCTTTTTCAGACTAGGAACTTAAATATATATATTTAACTTAGTTCCCATATGTGGTCAAAATAATTCTATCCTATAAAGACTGACTATGGAGTTACACATATTAAATGCCAATAGATTGCATAAAAACCACAGCCTATATAATTTTGCCCAAAGTAGCCTTACTAAGTGAGAACCTACTAATATTAACAAAACTTATGTGATTCCATTGATTCCAGGAAAGGGATCCAAGCAAAGCCAAATAGTCTGATATAATTGGCCTTACTCAACCCCTTTGATAATTAAGCTTGCTCAGTAGCTACTGTAATAAAAAGTGCTGACAGCGTTAAATAGTTGTGCATAATAGATAAAGCTAGCCTCATTGTTATCTCTGTACATTTGTTTTTGTGCTTAATGTATAACAAAGATTAATTGGGGCCCATGTTTTGTTGTAATTTAGGGATGTAGAGATGACTGGTACACCTTAGTCTCTGGTTAGAAAAGAATCACCATTTATCTTACACATCAGAAGGCTGTTTCACACTAATTGCTCATCTAAAAGCTCTACACATTTTTAAAATAATCTTAAATACACAATCCACTTGGTGTGAACTCAATTTGACAATTTCTCTTTATTTGTATCTTGAGATACTTCAAGATTTCATCTGCTGAATCAGAGATCACCTGAATTACTTAATCTAGAAGGAAAAGTATGAAGGAGTTACATGGGAATAAGTTATTTTAAGAAGTAAATTCTCTAGTTTTAAGAACAGACAAATCTGCGAAAACATTTTAAAATACATTCAACCTGTACTAGTATTCTTATGCTCTATTAATTAGTGTTTTTGTTGCAAATTTTAGTATTTCTAAATATACTCAAATCATGAACACCATCAGCAGGTAACTTAATTTAAAACAGTAGCAGCAGTAAGTTTTCCATTTGAGGGTTCTGGTTGAACATTTCCTAAACTCAAGAAGGACAGGGCTTGTTACTGTAATGGGAATGACAGCTCAAATTGCTGCCGAAGCATTAGAAGAATACACCACACCCAAATGGCTCCAGCTCGTGGCCAGAGATAAGAACTCAGGGGCATCTCTCTGGCTAGGAGACTGGGCTTCCTACTGTCCTATTCTCATCTTTAAACAGACTTCTTCAGGCATTTGYACATGAACTCAGGGATCCATGCCCTATTCTCTTATGTATACTACTAGTCTCCCTATCACTCATCCACTTGTGCCTAATTCTACATTCCTGCCCTGAGTGACCCAGGGACAGAGAATTGCCCTTCACGCTCATTACACTCTCCCTGCCCAGGGTCTATAAGTAACAAATGTGTGAACTTATTCCTATTGTGATGGAGTGTTGAATTTGCACTTTCCATCTGAGAACCAGGGGCTTTCCTAGGCCAGATTTTCCCACGGGTGCCAGGGTGGGAGTAAGGGTAGTGACAAAGGTTGGAGGGGTAGATCCAAAGCTCTGGTCAGGCAAAGATAAACAGGACACAGGTCAGACAAGAGCCACAAGGGCATATGTCAGTATAGACAAGTTTCCTGTTTAAGGGACCCACGGTTGCAGATTGGACTACTGGGCCGGCTACCCGATGGACAAAAGAAGGATCCTTTGAAGACACACTGTAAGTGTCCACCTTTCTTATTTTACAGTTAGCCTAGCTTTGCTAGCTGCTCTATTGGTAGAACCCAAACTTAGCTGGGAACTTTCAAAATAGTTACCCTTTATCTACCCCCCTGCAGGCCTGAGGAGTCTGTGGCAGGTGTACTGCAGAAATAAGCTGGGAAAGGAATTATAGAAACCTAAGTGCCCCCAAAATAATGGTGTCTGCTCTATTTTTTCACTGAAAACCAATGAAGGGAACCAGTAATTGTGGGATGGGGGATCTCTATGACCTATTCCTCTCTTTACATCTTCCAACCTATCTCCAAGCAATGCCACTTAAGTGCTGGTCTTGCATACTCCTGCCCTCTCTTTTAAGACTTCCGGGTACATTGGGCATGGTGGCAGATGCCTGTAATCCCACTGTTTCCAGAGGCTGAGAAAGAAAGATTCTAAATTTGAGGTCAGCCTCAGTAACTTAGTGAGACTCTATCTCAACATAAAGAAGGGCTGGGGAATGTATCTTAGTGGTCCAGCACCCCTGGGTTCAATCCCAGGGGTACCCCCCCCCCCGAAAAAAGGCTTAAGAGTATATTTAAGTATAGATTCCTGTGTGATTCCTTCACTTGAAACTTTCTCCTCATTAGGATACTGACATAAGCATCAAAAAGATTCATTGTTAGTTTTATTTCCACAATATTACACATTACTTTTTCACTCCCAAAGACAGAGAAAGGTTTATTTAGGAAAGCGGAGGCACATTCAAGGGACAATGTGGACTATCTCCTGCAGGAGAGACAGCTGTATACATTCCTTTATGAAAAAAATATTATTCAAAAAATATTAGCTCCTCTTCCCTCACCCTAATATTCTGAATAATAGACTCAATAAAGGGCATTATAAATTCTCTACATTGTTCACATAATTATATGCCTGAGTGCCAATGTTAAGAAAGAATTCTTTAAGTGCATAAAGTAACTAAGAAATTGAAACAAATTTCCAGTTTAATTCAATACAATCTAAGAAGTGATGAGGTCAGGAAACAAAGACAAAGTGGGCCAAGCACAGGCACTTTGTCTTTCATAGGCAGATGATGTGGCTTATTGTTGCTATTAACAGAAAATGAGATATATTTTTTAAAGGTGTAAAGAAACCATCATTAAGTTTTAAATGTGTTGGAAATCCTTAGAGGAAACAAAAAGCACCTGAGTTATAAAACACATTTCCTGTGCATCTTTTCAACCCTGTGACAACAGTTCACAGTAATTTTGAAGAGCTGATTGCAGTGCTTGTATTTATCTGTATTTTGCTTGATTCCAGCAAGCTGGGAGGGTCCTCTACATGAAGGCTGCCACTTGTGGAACATCTGGTGGYTGCATTCCTGACACTGTCATTGAGGTGTCTCTGAAATCTGTGCTGTCATTAGAACTGACTTTGGCCAGAATGAAAATTTAGAGAAGCAACATATGAAGGTCCCTTGCAGCAGAGATGATGAGGCCAGGCCAGTAGTGTGAACCCCAATAGTTGGGGTGGGGCAAGGAAATCCTTTCCAGTGAACATCCTGGTCTGGATGAGGCAGGATTTTAGGTGGACCTCGAATGATAGCTGAGATCAGGAAGGTGGAGACACTCAGGAAAAATGACATTTTGAAATAGGGGGACTCTTTGGCTAGATTGGAAGAATTGAGATGGGACAGTGAAAGACAAGGTA